TGATTTTATGAGTATAACTATGTCAGGCTGTGCTTGAGTAGTCTGTGAGACAGGTCTTCCAATTTTGGTGCTAGGCCAGGTCGTCTGCCTGGTTTCATTTGGGGTAATAGAGATGTACAGCATGAAAACTGGCTCTTCAGTCCACCTCATCCATGCCAACTAGATAGCCTAAATTAATCTAGCCCTGTTTGCCAGCATTTGGCCCATATCCCTCTGAACTCTTCCTATTCATATACCTGACCAGATGCCTTTTAAATGTTGCAATTGTACCACCCTCCACCAATTCCTGTGGTAGTTCATTCCATACACGCACTATTCTTTGAGATTTTATAGCAATTGGTGCAACTGAATGCCTTGCTAGGCCATTTTCAGAGGGCAGCTGAGATTCAACCACATTGCTGTGGGTCTGAAATTACATGTAGGCCAGACCAGGTGAGGATGGTAGATTTCCTTCCCTGAAGGACATTAGTGAACCAGATGGGTTTTTCCAACAATCAACAACGATTTCATGGTCATCAGTAGATTCTTAATTCCAGATTTTTTTATTGAATTCAAATTCCATCATCTGCTGTGGTGGGATTCGGACCTAGGCTCCCATTAATAGTCTAGCGATAATATCACTAGGCCATCGCCCCACTTTGGGCCTCTTAGCATGAATAATCTCATCCATTGCCTCGATGATGTATTTGCTCACTCCTCTTTTAGGTCCATGACCTTGTTGATGCACTGATGTGTTGCAGTCAGTAAAATACTGCAAACGTCTTTGGCTGGTGATCCCTGGAAAGTGTCTGAAGTACGAAGGTAGTTCAGTCACCTTCACAGCTACAGGCATTGCATGTCCAACATTTGAAATAAGCCACCAGCAAGAATTGCACAAAGGGACATCACTCTCCTGGGAGAGAGGCTGACATCAAAGACACTGGTGCTCTGATGGGTGCAGTTGGTTCATTCTCTGCCTGTAATCTGCTTGTGCAGAGTATGACTCTCGCTGCTGTAAGGACTTGGTGATATTGGGCTCAATGGCCTTTTGTTCTTTGAGCAACTCCAGATCTTCCATATGCCTGGCGAACAGGTCACTGCTGTCTCTGTCCAGCTGTTCTCCTCTCCCTCCTTCCCCTGTTCTACTCCTCACTGAGGAATTCCAATTGGGCCAGGTTGGAGTCTTTCCTTTCAATGTTGACTTCTGATGCCTTTCTATGGGCTTCTGGTGGACCTCACAAAGATGTTTAGAGATTCTTAGGTCAACACCCTCACCTCGATTGACAAACTTAGGTGCTAAAGCCACACTCTCTGAATTGCTTCATTTCCAAGGCTTATCCATTAGCTTTGAGCTGCCCATCAATAGCTACAGTAAATCACTCCCTTCCTGTTGGCCAATGTGTACCATATAAATTATCGATCAATTGCAACTAAACTAAAACTATTTTAATTGGATGTTAATTGGTCATTTTGTAAAGTCAATTGAGATTTTGACTTCGGGCCCCCACTTGCCTTCCTTAATATCAAAGGCTGAAATTATGATGCCTGATTTTAGGAGGTGCAGAAGGGTCTTCAGCCTAAGTTGCTGACATGAAATCCAGCCCATGGTCTTTACTGATACATAAGTGTCTCCTTCATGATAATATCTGGTAGACTGACCAAATCCATGTTAGAAAAAATAGACATTCTCTAATTTCTCAATTCTGAACAGCTTGTACAGCTTCTGAACAGCTATATTCATGATAAGCTTTATTTGTAAGAAAGGAAAAGCTAATTGATTAAAAGCTAATTAGGGGCAGAGAGGTGGCTCAGTGGTTAGCAGTGCTGCCTCATAGCACCAGGGACCCGGGTTCAATTTCCCCTCGGACGACTGTCTGTGTGGAGTTTGCACATTCTCCCTGTGTCTGCATGGGTTTCCTCCGGATGCTCTGATTTCCTCCTACAGTCCAAAGATGTGCAGGCTAGGTGGATTGGCAATGCTAAATTGCCTGTAGTGTTCAGGGATGTGTAGATTAGGTGGGTTATAAGGAGATGGAGCTGGGTGGGATGCTCTGAGGGTCAGTGTGGACTTGTTAGGCCAAAGGGCCTATTTCCACACTGTGGGGATTCTATGATGAAAAGTGGATTAAATAGTGGCAGTGATAAAATTAAAACTCTTTTATATCGACCTTATGTAAAGTATAACAGGACTTCAAAAATAGCACTGGATAAAGTTATTTGAAAAAGGTCCAGCCTTCTCACAAAACATTTTGCAGCAAGGTAAATGATGTTAATTTGATTAGTAAGAATGGGCTGAAATTTCATATGAAATTCGATGTCAGTATGTTTGTGCTAATATATGGAGTAAACAAAAAGCAGTAACATATTCTGTTTTAAAACATGCACAACATCACAGAGTGATCAGAGATTTGGTGTGATAGGTTCATGTGACATTTAAAACTCAATTTAAAAAAAACTTTCAATTTTAATCACAAGGTATAGTGTAAAAGTTAAAATATATCAATGTGCTTTATAAAACCTTAATAAAATCTCAAATTTCTGTGCACAGTATCAGGGATAATGCATGGAATTGTTTCATCCCATATTTTGGTCAAGAAACTATGATTTATAATCTGTCTGTATACAAGTCACATTGAAACTGAAAGCATCTAGATATTTTTAAACAACCTGTTCAGACATGTTATGACCTCCAGGGCAGGTGGAACTTAAAATGAAACTTCTGGTCTGATGGTAAGAACAATACTACCAGCCACAAGAACCCTAGTGAAAGCATGTATACTTTGTACTGCTTGCCCTTTTGCATGATTGTCACACTCAGTCGAGCATTGCTCATACGGTTGGCTTGACAAAAACTAATCAAAAGATTTAGTAGCACATGTTTCAACTAGTCTAGATGGCTTGAAGGGAATTGCACTCAGAGCAAGGATACTGTTGCTAACTGTCTGAACTACAATTGGCAGAAAGCGGAATTTGAACACCAGGGAAGAGAGAGGGAGAGCTCCAAGGTTCACAGATGCGATGCTGCATGGAGGTCAACAGAAAGGAGAAAGACCAGGCTCCACAGGATGGGAGACCCTCACAGAATGCTCTGCAAAGGGAATGGAAGCAGGGCCTGTCATTTGCTGGGGCTGAATTATGTGGGATGACTTGTATTCAGCACCCCTCCCCCCCAACACCATCACCACCAAAAGTGTCTGAGATATGTGGAGTTGTAGTATTTCCTGCCCTATTGCTGCCTTGCATCAATTTAAGACAGAGAACAGCACTAATTGCTTTATGGCGAGACTTCAGCTGTTACCTTAGGATGTCTAGCCTGAGACAGCAGCTGCCCAATTAGATCATAGAATCCCTATAGTGCGGAACCAGGCCACTCAGCCCAACAGGTCCACACCACCTTTCCAAAGAACATCCCACCCAGACCCATCCCTCTATCCTGCCCCTGTGACCCCATATTTCCCATGGCTAATCCACATAATTTACATACCCCTGGACACTATGGGCAATTTAGCATGGCCAAGCCACCTAACCTGCACATCCTTTGGACTGTGGGAAGAAACCAAAGCACCTGGCAGAAACCCAGGCAGACAAGGGAAGAACATGCAAACTCCACACAGTCACCGAGGGGTGCAACTGAACCCAGGTTCCTGGTGCTGTGAGGCAGCACTGCTAACCACTGAGCCACTATGCCTGACAGCTCTGTGGCTCCAGCAGCATCAGGTTTGAATCGTGGCCATTGGTAGAAATATAATTAACCCCCAATGCTGAGGAGTTCAGGTAAATCCAGCGATAGAGTCTTGGTGAGAAGAGAAGTTAAGGAGAAGTAGGAGCTGAGTTCAAGAGACCAGAGGAAAAGGGTTAAAAAAAGATGGATCTTATGAAGGGAGGGGGTACAACTGGGCCCAAAGGTTCTGTAAAGGAGCATTCATGTGCTCTTTCTTGAAGCCACCCTAAGTAGCTAGGGCTGTCAGACTCCCTTGTTATATGGATCTTCCCCATCATGGGAAAATACTGGCAGAGGAGGCTGGGGCATTTAAGTGGCCAATTAGAGGGCCTCAATAAGCCCAACAGTGGGCAGGCAGTCCAACGCCTCCCCCAAACCCAGATAAGTGTTGTGAATCTTTGACACTCTTCTGCAGAGAGAGTAGTGGAACTGAAGTCACTTAACACTTTTAAAGTAAATATAGGTAGATACTTGACGAATAAGAGAGTCAAAGTTTATTATGGGTAGGCAGAAATGTGGAATTTAGGTAACAATCAGATCAGCCATGATCTTATGAAATGATGAAAGCAGGTTAGAGAGGCCAAACGACTTACTCCTGCTCTTAATTCATATGCTTGTATGAATATGTTAACAAACCTTTTCCCATTAAATTTCTGCATGACTGGCATAAGACTTTAGGCCAATAGGTTTGTACTTATTATGCTTATCCTTCTTTATTTAAAGATGAGTTCAACGTCTGCAAGTCATGTCCTCCAGTATCACTCCCATACACAAGGAGCAGTGAAAATTTGTGGTTAGAGCTTCTGATATTTCCACCCTTACCTTCGTTTCTAGCATGGAGGTGGAGTCCAAAACCAGCACTTGAGTAATATTAGGGTGAATCCAAAGAGGTAGTTTAAGTATATTAAAGGGAAAAGAATAACTAGAAAGAGATTAGAACCCCTCAAGGACCAAAGTGGACATTTATGTGTGGAATTGTAGGAGATGGGTGAGATCCTCAAATGAATATTTCTCTTCTGTGTTTACCATGTAGAAAGATATGATGACTTGGGAACTTGGGGAAGTTAGTGGTGATATCTTGGGGACAGTCCATATCACAGTAGAGGAGTTGTTGGACGTATTAGAATGTATGAAGGTGGATAAATCTCCTGGTCCTGACTAGATATATCCAAGAACCCTGCAAAAGGCTAGAGAAGAAATTTCAGGGGCCCTGGCTGATATATTTGTATTATTGTTAACCACAGGTGAGATCCGGAAGACTGGAGGGTAACGAATATTGTGCCATTATTCAAGAAGGGCTGCAAAGAAAATCCTGGGAACAATAGACCAGTAAGCCTAACATCTGTGGTGGGTAAGTTACTTGAGAAGGTTCTGAGGGATAAGATATACATGCATTTAGAAAGACAGGGTTTAATTAGCAGTAGTCAGCATGGCTTTGTGCATGGGAGATGCCTCACAAATTTGTTAGAGTTCTTTGATGAAGTGACCAGGAAGGTTGATGACGGCAGGGCAATAGACATAGTCTATATGAATTTCAGTAAGGTCTTTGATAAAGTTCCACATGGTAAGCCCCTCCGGAAGGTTAGATCGCATGGAATCCGGGAAAAGCTGGCAAATTGGATACACAGTTGGCTTGTTGGTAGGAAGCAGAGGGTAATAGTCAGACTGGAAGCCTGTGACTAGTGATGTGCCTCAGGAATCAGTGCTGGGCCCATTGCTGTTTGGATGAGAATATACAAGGCATGATTAGTAATTTTGTGAATGACACAAAAATAGGCCGTATTGTGGACAGCAAGGAAGGTTATCAGAAATTGCTCAGTTGTGGAAGTGGGCCAAGAGATGGCAAATGGAGTTTAATATGGATAAGTGTAAGGTGTTGCATTTTGGAAGGTCAAATCAAGGTTGGATTTTCATGGTGTATGGTACGGCCTTAAGGACTGTAGTGGAACAGAGGGACCTTAGAGTTTAAGTGCATCATTCTCTGAAAGTGGAGTCATAGGGTAGACAGGGCAGTGAAGCCTTTTGGCATACTGGCCTTCATCAGTCAGGGCAGTGTGTATAGAAGTTGGGAAGTTATATTGCAGTTGCACAGGACGTTGGTGAAGCCGCACTTGGAATATTGTGTTCAGTTTTAGTCACCTTGCTTTAGGAAGGATATTATTATACTGGAAAGAGTGCAAAAGAAATTCACAAGTATGTTGCCAGGATTGAGTTATAGGAGAGGTTGGACAGGCTAGGACTTTTTCTTTAGATGTAGGAGACTGAAGGGAGATGCTGTGGAAGTGTATGAGACCATGGGAGGCATGGATAGGGTGAATGTACTCAGTCTTTTTCCCAGCGTTGGGGAATCGAGGACTAGAGAGTATCATTTTAAGGTAAGGGGGAAATAATAGATGGGAACCTGAGGGGCAATTTTTTTTACACAGAGGTATGTATATGGAATGAGCTGCCAGTGGAAGTAGTTGAGGCGGGTACATTAACAAAATTTAAAAGTCATTTAGACAAATACATGGATAGGAACAGTTTAGAAGGGGGCCAAGTGCAGAGAAATGGGGTTAGCGTGGATGGACATTTTGGTCGGCATGGACCAGTTTGGGCCTAAGGGCCTGTCTCTGTGCTGTATGACTGTATGACTGAATGTGATACAGCATTTGGTTGTCTTTATCTCAACTGCCATTGCAGCACAGGCAGTCGTCAGTCAATGTTTCAGTGCTGCGGTGGACAATCAGACAGAGATCAGGAGATCCATGTTTGCTGCTATGCATTCTTTGACTGATACCTTTGTAGCCACAGGTCTCAGTGACTTGTGTCAACAATATTGGTATTTCGTGGGGAAGGTTTACACTGGCTGTTTTCTGAATCTCACTGAATATCCTGAATGACAGAAGCAGTAAAGATTGAAGTAGTTCAAAAACATATCATAAATAAATATGAAGAAAATAGGACAATTTGTATAAATGAAGAAAATTTTACACTATAATGAATTAACTGATAAAAGAACACAGACATCTTTGCCCCAAGGTTCTGTTTCCGTGCTGTGTAACTGTATGACACTACATCACAGAGGAAATTGAATCATATTGGATTAATATCAGTTTGGCATTGCTGTTGTTTTAGGTTGATTTTCCTATTTCAATAAAAGGTATGGAGCTCTATGAAAATTGGACCTCTGCAGTTTTGAGCAACTGGTTAACCCGCATTGGAACCCATCAGATTGCTGACATGCTCATAAGTGAAGGTACGTTTACTGCATAATTCAACTTTTTTCTAGGGTAGTGCCCAACATTTTCCTGTGGCCATGCTATTTTATCAGTGGCAGGAATATGGCAAACCTAACATTCACTAGGAGTCCAGTAGAGCCACTTAAATATCTTCCCACATTTGCTGGCTATCTGCGAGTGGTAAGGAGCCTACTGTCATGCAAAAAGACAGTCCAGTGGAACTCTCAGGGTCAGAAATCGGACGACATCAGGTTATAGTCGTTAGGTTATAGTAGTTTGTGAACGCTGGTCTGTTTAAGGTTTGGCAGTTGTTTGAAGGCTAGAAGCGGAGGCTTAGGGATGATCTTGGCGAGATGCTCGTCAGCATCAATGACATGTTGAAGGCTGTGAAGAACATGGTGTAGCTTCTCTGCTCCGGAGATTCCCCGGAACCGAGATACTATGCCACGTTCTTCACAGCTTTCAACATGTCATTGAGGATGACAGGCATCTCGGCAAGATCATCCCTACACCTTCACTTTTTGCCTTCAATTAACCGCATCGTTCGCAGCAAACTACCTAGCTTTCAGGACAACATTGACCACAACAGCACACAACCCTGCCACGGCAACCTTTGCAAGACATGCCAGATCATCGATATGGGTACTACCATCACACATGGGAACACCACCCACCACGTACGTGGCAGATACTCATGTGACTTGGCCAATGCTGTCATCTCATATGCTGCAGGCAAGGATGCCTCAAGGTATGGTGTATTAGCGAGACCATGCAAATGCTATGACAATGGATGAATAGAAACCATGCAACAATTGCCAAACAGTAATGTTCCATCCCAGATGGGGAACACTTCAGTGGTCAAGGACATTTAGCCTCCAATCTTCGGGTAAGATCATTCAGTCTCCAATCTTCCTTCAAGGTGGCTTTCGAGATACACAACAATGCAGAATCGCCAAGCAGAAACTGATAGCCAGGTTTCATAGCCATGAAGACAACTTCAACCATGATCTTGGGTTCATGTCGCACTACATGTGAACCCACCACACTGTTATGTATCTGTAAAATCTTCCTTACTGTCCTTTTTAACACCATCACCTGGATAAATTGTTATGATCTCTCTACTTAATTAGTTTGTACAATTTTGGATTACTCATCACTTTGGTTAGACCCTCGGCATGCAACTCTTATACCTATTATATTATTTCAGTCATTTGGTTTGACTCCGGCACCACCTTTTTTTTATTCTTTGTAATTATCTTTCTACTTCATTTAATCATTTATAGGTTATCTCTTGACTTGTTATTCAGCTCTTGACACTTTACTCACACCGCTTGACACTCTTGATCACCTGCAGAGACCTATTATTTGGTCTGTTAAAAATCCACTCACATCATTTGTATGATCGTTTGATCTCTCCGCCTATAACTTCTGTGCCGGTGTGCTTCTCTGTCACTTCACCTGACGAAGCGGCAATGCTTTGAAAGCTTGTGATTCAAATAAACCTGTTGGACTATAACCTGGTGTCATCTGGTTTCTGACCTTGTCCACCCCAGCCCAACACTGGCATCTCTACATCAGTGAAACTCTGGCAACCTCCCAGTGGGTTCCAGTTGAATGGAGCCTTCATTTCAGGAGGCGCTTACTGCCCACATGGCAATGACACTGTTTCCCCTCAATGATCCCTCCTAAATGGTGCCTATATGCCCTGACACTCTAGCACTGACCACAATTCGCTGCTTAGCTGCTGGCCATCTGATTGGACCAGCAGCTCTTTGAACAGCAGATAGCCATCCTCAATATGGCAGTTAGTCTTGATGGCAGATACTCGGTTGGTTGTCACGATTAAATACACCCTCAAATCCCACCAACCACTGAGGTGGAGTCACATTACATCCTGCCATGTTTTGCTCCAGTGGCAGGACACCTACTGACTTCACAAAATTCCAGCCATTATCTGTTATTTCCTCCATGAATTCTGCCACTCTGTACCAATGTTTTTCTGATACCAGAACAGGCATTGTCTTAGGGGATGACAAGCAGTCGCAGAGACACCGTCACACCGAGATTTGATAATGTGTTCAACTTCCATTGGTAATCCTACTGTGCAGTTATAGATCAATACTTCCACCAACGTCCAGGAAAGCAAACTGTTGTTCAAATATGGCCGACACCCCTAACTATTTGTTGTCCCAGCATGTCCTAGGTGGAGGAACTAGTGGAGTTCACAACCTGAATGGCCCTGGTATCAGACGCTATTGCTGATGCCACGAGATTCTTGCAACAAGACCCTAACTCAATGTCAAATGAAACACACTCACACTATACAGTTTACTACAGTGTATCAATGTCATCCACAAGAAGTTGGAGGTGGTGTCCACCATCATCTCTGGCCTACAGTGAACTATCCAATACATTGAGAAATGGCAGGTGAACATATATATTTCCTTTGATGGCTAGGCTCCTAAAGTCCTTTAATTGAGTCAGAACACAAGTCTGTCTTCTAGTAAACTATTTCCTGAATGGTCCATTGTTTTGCATTTGTTCCTGCACTGAGTACATGAATCTGTGTAGATCCTTCTAACTATCTAAGCCGGGCATCAATCTTGGAAATGGTAACAGTAATTTGAAATAGTGGATCTTTGTAGCATACTCTTTCCTCTCTAGTTGCCTTACTTTGACAGCCTGATATGATCAGAAAGCCTTTTCCGGCAGTCCAACCACATCCTGGAACTGATTCTGGTGGCATTGGCTTGTTTAGCCACCTGTCTTCTGACTCATGTGAATTGACACATCTACCATCTACTCTTTGTTCCTGCTTTTAATAAATATTGGAAATTATTGTCACCTCTTCAATGGACGTTAAAAATCCCATGGCAATATTTTGAAGAAGAGTAAGAAAGCTACATCTAGCACTCTTTCCAATTTTTATCCCTCAAATAATTGCATAAGAAACAGCTTAGTGGTTATTATCACATTGCTTTTTGTAAGAAATCACTATGCAAATTGTTTGCAAATCCTACACTACAACAAGTGGCAATACTTAAAATTATTTTATTTGTGGCAAAGTGTTTTGTGATATTCTGCATTTGTTAAAGGCATTTCTTACATGCAAATCTTTCTTTTTAAATTTAGTATCCTATTCTTAGCTCATAATAATGGTTTTTTTTGTCTAATACTTTTAAATTTTAACAGATGAGGTGTAGGCAATATACCGGTAAGCAAGTGGCACCTGTGGAACTATTTACCGCCAGCACAATTTAGCACTTCTGGGACAGAGAGGAGTTAATTGTATAGAAATAAATATTATCTACCAAATATCATCTAAAGATTTACTGTGAAATTTAGCACACTTTCAGCTTATTGTATGGCATTGTAGTGGCTGTGACTGGTGTCCCTTTCCTACTAATTGTCAGTGGCAACATATTCTTGTTTATTTGTATTTTTGTAGAACCAGGGAGTTCAATCTTCACAACAACCTCATTGCTCATTCATAAAATAAGATGTATTGGAGCCAAAAGGAGATTGAAATAGCTCCATTAATAGCATCACCAAGTCACTCTTTATTTACACGTGGAGGGTCCTTGACACTGATCCAGCTTCCTCAGAGCCAGCTCTCAGAGTAAAGAGAACTTCTGACACTCCTGCTTGTATCTATCAGCCAGGGCTCACTGATTAGACGAGATTAACAGCCCCATTCAGACAACTCATATTCTATAATGTCCACCTGGCTGACCTCATCACAATCACTACAGAAATTAAAATGGAATACTGAGTCTTTCCATTGCCTTTCTAGGTAGCAGCAATTTTAGCATTGAAATAATTATTTCCAATGCAAATATCAGATGGACCATCTTAAAGTCATCAAAAATGTTTGGAAGTTATTTGATACTTAGTTCACTTAGATAAGCTTTTCACCAATTATGAAAGCAAAATTTGGAAGAGCGAATGGAGGATATTTCAGCTATTTCTTTTATGAGGAAACATACTCATATTATCCAACCTATGGTGAAGGGATTTAAGGAATATTAGATAGGCCTCTGAGACCAGTGTTTTTTTTTTATTCATTTGTGGGATGCAGGCATTGCTGGATGGCCAGCATTTATTGCCCATCCCTACTTGCCGTTGAGAAGGTGATGGTGAGCTGCCTTCTTGAAATACTACAGTTCACCTGCTGTGGGTTGACCCACAATGCCATTAGGGTGAGAATTCCAGGATTTTGACCCAATGATAGTGAAAGAAAAGTGATATATTTCCAAGTCAGGATGGTTAGTGGCTTGGAAAGGAATTCGAGGGTGGTGGTGTTCCCATATATCTGCCCTTGGTCTTCTTGATGGAAGTGGTCGTGGGTTTGTAAGGTTGTCTGAGGATCTTTGGTGAATTTCTGCAGTACATCTTGTAGAGAGTAGACACTGCTATTATTGAGCGTCAGTTGTGCAGGGAATGGATGCTTGTGTATGTGGTGCCAATCAAGCGGCCTGTTTTGTCCTGGATGGCGTCACATTTCTTGACTGTTGCTAGGGCTGTGCTCATCCAGGAAAGTGGGCATGTTCCCATCTCAGTACTGACTTATGCCTTGTAGGTGGTCGACAGTGTTTGGGGAGTTGGGGATTGTGTTACTCACTGCAGTATTCCTGGGCTCTGGCCTGCTCTTATAGCCATTGTGTTTATGTCATTAGTCCAGCTGAGTTTCTGGTCATTGATAAATCCCAGGATGTTGACAGTGGGTGATTCAGTGATGGTAACACTGTTGAATGCCAGTTTAACAGTTACTAAGACGTTTCGCCTGAACTTGTAACGAGACCCAAAGAAACTGAGTCTAGGATCACATATAATTCAGGTTTATTAAGCTCACATCTTCCTATTTATGCTCTCAATTTCACATTCAGATAACTCTCATCAGTTAAAAATTCATGTTGTGTACCTCAACCAATTTTAGTACCATCATCCAGTTCATCCAATGGTATACCGCAATCTGATGTTACCTCCGAGACAGAGCACAACAGGAAGACACAACAAGACCAGAATTACTTATCATCCTGAGATAACAAGGTATAGAGCTGGATGAACACAGCAGGCCAAGCAGCATCAGAGGAGCAGGAAAGTTGACGTTTCGGGCCTAGACCCTTCCTCAGAAAAAAGTTATCATCCTTATCACTTATTACCCTACCATATATCAAGGACATTTCAGAGATGACCACAAGACTACTCAGACGTCTAGGTGTCAGAATAGCTCACAAATCGACAACCACCCTACGACAGCTACTGACGAATGAAAAGGATCCCATACCCAAAACCGGCAAAACTGGGGTAATATACAAAATACCATGCAAGGACTGTGAAAAACACTACATAGGCCAAGCTGGAAGAAAATTGAACACCAACTAGCCACCAAGAGACATGATCAATTCTCACTTGTCTCACTACACACGGACAATGAGGGACATGAATTTGACTGGGACAACACATCGATAATCACACAAGCCAAACAGAGACATGCCAGGGAATTCCTGAAGGCCTGGTATTCCAACTGGAACTCCATCAACAAACACTTGAATTAGACCCTGTGTACAAACCACTGAGAAACAAAACCAGAAGTAATACCAACCACCCCAGCAAACTGAGGCATATAAATAACAAACGGGACAGAACACCAATGCTTCACCAAAGGCGCACTGATGATGTTACCTGGCAGGGTGGTGAAATGTTTGCAACCAAACCCACCAGCTCAGCGGGCATGTCTACAACCTCATCCAGAACCCGAGTAGCAACTTTGGTGGTGGCAGTGTTGGGTCCTCAGCATCAATGAGGGGGGTTGCTGCAGGGTGGAGGCGTTGTGGGTCCCATTGTTCCTCCTTGCTATGGCGACCTCAACAGTAGTTTTAGCAGCGGTGTCCCGCAAATCAGGAGACGTGAAAAGAACAAAAGTTGAGCTTTGTCTTAATTATTTCTTTTTTATATTTTCTGTAATTAAAATAGTACTGGAATACTGCAACTTAAATACTTTTCACTATTTTTCTAAATACAAGTAACAATAAATTAATATTCTATTCTATCAAGCCAGCTCCATTATTCACTTTGATTGTCCTTAACTCCACCTTTTTGGATGCTCCCACATAAACCTTAACTTCATTGTTGATCAAAAATCTGTCTAACTCAATCTTGAATATATTTAATGGCCCAGCTCCCACTACTGTCTGTGGAATACAGTTTCAAAGATTAACTCTGAGGAAAGAAATTTCTCCCCATCTCTGTCTTAGATGGGAGACTTCTTTTTCAAACTGTGCCCACTGCTCCTAGATTCCCCCAAAAGGAAAAGCATCATTACAGCATCTACCCCATAAATCCCCCTTGGAATCTTATGTGTTCTAAAAGATTACTTGTTATTCCTCTAAACTCTAGAAAATATAAGCTAATGTTCTTTACCTTTCCTCATCAGATAAATCCCTTATCCCAGGAATGAGTCAAGTGAACTTTCTCTGAACTGATTCGAACACATGTGGACTGTAATGCGCTCTCATCAATGCCCTGTACAATTGTAACAAGACTTCCCTACTTTTGTACTCAATTCCTTTTCCAATAAAAAATGAACAAATGATTTGTCTTCCTAATTACTGGCTGTACCTGAATACTGACCTCATCTAACTCATGTACAAGGACACCCAGATTCCCTCTGTACCGCAGCAGTCTGGAGTCATGCACTGTTGAAATAATATTCTGTTTTCCTCTTCTTCCTGCAAATGGTGCAGCTTCACATTTTCCCACATTATATTCCATCTGGCAATTTTTGCTCAATTACTTAATCTGACTATATCCCATTGCAATTTGTTTTGTAAACTCCTAACCATTTATTTTCCTATAATTTTTGTATTGTCAGCAAATTTGGCTACAGTACAGTCGGTCTCTTCAACCAAGTCATTGATATAGATTAAAACAATCTAGTTTAAGAGGCCCAGCGCTTATCATATTGGTACTCCACTCAAAGCAATTGGCCAAGTTGAAAATGATCCATTCATCCCAACTCCCTGTTTTCTGTTAGTTTGCCAATTCTCTATCCACACCAATATATCTTCTCGAAAAGTTTAAACCAAAATATCACCCTAAAATAAAGGTGTATTAGGGTAGATGGTGTTAGGAAAGCATCAAAGACCATTGGGTGTGGGTGATTAGATGGAGGTGCATGAAGTGGCATGGATGAGGCATGGAAGGCATGCAGGCTTCAGGAGGTGTGAGGGGTGAAGGATGGAGGGCCTTACTGTTTTCTTATAACTGGGACCAGGTCCCACAGCACTGAGGCAGACCTTGCAAACAGCCTGCCTTGGTGTCCATCAATCTCTGTTCCTGTCTCCAAACTCTTTGTCAGGTTGGCTGGTTTGACTGTAATCCACACCTGAAACTCCAACTCGCACCTACTTCCCTCACCCCATTCCCCTCTGCCCGAACAATGAAAATCTAGTCTTTGAATGTGCATTCTTCTGTAGTGGGCAGGGTGAGCTGGGAATTTTTCTGACTTCCACTGCCCAACTTGAGGATGAAAATACAGGCCATGACCTCTGCTTCTGTCCTAATATGCTGCCTGACCTATTGAATTTTCCAGCAATTTGTGATTTTACTTAAGTACTTTTGAACTGTAGTAACTGTCATAATGTAGACACATGTAAGTTATTATGCCAAGAATCCTTTGTATTAATCAATTAAACAAGAAGGCAACATGTTGGCTCAGTGGTTAGCACTGCTGCCTCACAGCACCAGGGACCCAGGATCAATTCCAGCCTCTGTGTGGAGTTTGCACATTCTCCCCGTGTCTGCGTGGGATTCCTCTGGGTGTGTTGGTTTTCTTCCATAGTCCAAAGATGTGCAGATTAGTTAAATTGACCATGATAAATTCCCATAAGGAATGTGCAGCCAGGATAGTGGGGTAGGTCGGGGTGTATGCTCTTTGCAGGGTCAGTGTAGACTCGATGGGCCAAATGGCCTGTTTCCACACTGTAGGGATTCTATGATTCTATGAAGTTATTGTATGAATTTTGAATTGATTTTGTTTGTTTTGTTTTTCCCCTAGATAAGAGTTGTTTTTTTGTCAATGTATGCATTTCTATTTTTTTTCAGGCTTCCACATGTATGTATCAGCCAGGCAGAAAGGCCAGCAATTCAATCCTTTGCTGACATGACGCCAAAACTCAAACAGACAGTCAGTCAATTTTCCCAGTCTTCTCACCTTGGCATCTCCTTGAAGACATGCAATGAATGTGCATCAGTAATTCAGCACATGGTTGTGACCCTTCTTCATGAGACACAGTCTGCTAATGCTCTAATATACTGCAAAACTGCGGAGCAAATTATTTAAAAAATCCTACAAGGCTCATTTCCACTGGTCCTGAGACAAATTCAATACCCTCACCAAGGGCAGGGAATGGCATTTATTAGATACTATTAATACAACTTGAGCTCCAATCCAAACTACATTGATTAAAAGAGATAACAAGGTGTAG